TCCCGAGGAACTGACTAAACGAAAAGGCACCGTACAACTGACGGGGCTGGAAGACCAAAACACATGTCTTGCACCGTATAAGTGCCCATGACATACTTCATTAAAAACCCAAAATACATTGTCTTCTTCTTTATTTGAAAATTGCACGAGGTTGGTGTTTTCCTTCTTTCCTCAAAACTTGATGGCTAACGTTTCGGTGGCAACGCCTTCGTCAGAGCCTAGACGTATAAATCATATCATATCTGATTATTCGGCTAATATTTGCAAGCCTCAAAAATCTACTAGAGAAGAAATCAACAGTCTGGTCATTCTGAAAACCCTACCTTATCTGGTTTTTGAGAGCCGTCACCAGTCTAGTGTGACACAATTTTCAAAATAAACCACATTCAGATTGGAAGATGAATCTGAGATGAGGTGCCATATCATTTGCTATGCATAGGCATTCCCTCCTACTATTCTTTTCCGGTTGTTTGCGATTCATCCAAAAAGCCTCAAGGATTTTTCGCACTGATGTTTTTGATTCCTGTCCCAGTATTTTCATCGCCACAACAAAGTCCGTATCGTTATGTTTTTCCACTCTGTGGTCCCCAAAAGCTTACTTGTTTTGCTGTTGTCTTTCCTATCTAACTGCTTAAACACCTTCTTATATCTGCGCTTATTTTATTCGTTATGAGAGGTAGTTTCAAGAGTATCTTCCCGTCTCAATGTGCTCGGTGTTTAGCGAATAATCTCTAGAGAATAATCGTAGCTGAATCCATATCTATTTGTAACAATATTCTGTATAATATTAGGAATAATTTGCGAAGGAAATTTGAGAAGCAGCTACGTGAGCATAATTCAACGTCAACATTTCGGAGAAACCCTATTCTCAGCGAGACCAGAAATGAACCTGAGGTAGATCACGCGCCAAATACCTCGAGGGTCATTGTACTAGGGGTTAGGATCCATCAGGAGAATGTGCGTTCACTGTTACAATTGAGTCCCAGCTTTTCACCTGCTCAGCCCATTTACTAAAGAATAATGCGTAGTATTGCATGTAATTTACATGAAGTCCAGGACCAGCTGCGTTATAGAGTGAAAGTAGAAAGACTAGGTTTGGAACAACAGAGAGGGGCATTATTACCACTTCCTTTCCCAAGAACATTCTTCAGACAACAACAACCTGATAATGAAGTTGACTCAATTTTCCGTTTATTTTCGGACGGAATTCTCCATACACTAAATAGGTACCGATCGAATGAATTCATTTCGAATTCAACTCACGGGCGAAAACATGGTATGAGCCAGAATCGGGAGCTAGTAAACCCTAAGAGAAATCTGTAATCTATTAGTGATAAAGGTGGAGAATTTGTAATTATTCCTCGTCAATTGAATGTTGAATTTAACGGAAAAACTTCTTCAGGATGTTGCCCTTTATCGGCCATCCAGTGAGGGAAATATAAAACACAATAACGAAATTGAAGAGGGGATGGTACAAAACGGCAAAGGCAGCTGGTGCACAACAATCGATAATCCTCAAAGTAATTCCAAAACGAGTGTTTCAAGCCTAAACGAGGTTGGTACGCCAGGGCCATACACCGGTGTTTCGGAGGTTTCGGCCTACTCGTCAGTGACCACCGCCCCAGATTAAGCCCTGCATTGTAGCAAGGAGGGAGGCGTACGTGGTGATGGCATAGAGTACAATGACACTGGTCCATCACCACTTTTCAGTCTACCAGCCATCATCACTTTGCAGTCTATCACGAGTTTTTAAAAACAGTCGATCTTATGGATTAATTTTGGTCTACCAGCCGAAATCCATCGACTGTGATGGTGATGGACCAGTGTCATTGTACACTATGCCATCATCACGTACGCCTCCCTCCTTGCTACAATGCAGGGCTTAATGTGGGGCGGGGGTCACTGACCAGGAGGCCGAAACTTCCGAAACACCGGTGTATGGCCCTGGCGTACCAACCTCGTTTAGGCTTAAAACATTCTTTTTGGAATTATTTTGAATGTTTATTACGAGGTTTGAAAAACAGTCGATCTCATGGATAATCCTCAACTTATGAATGAATTATCAACTTGTCCCGTCCCATACACACTCATAAAAACACATAAACTCACGTCTAATAATGATCTAGAGTCTACCGATATCCTTCAGCATTCAAAGTTAGACCGATCATTAGCTTCATACCACCCCATCTGCCTAACACCTAATTTTTCTTAGGACACCTAAATCGTGCACAACCAAATCACAGGTATACGATGGAATCGTTCAATGCTACTGCTCTCTACACGAATGTTCAAATGATTCCTCACTACAAAAAGGATTGAGAATAAGTAAACATAACGATGATGTGGCACCTTATCTCAGATTAATCTTCTAGTCTGAAAGTGGTTTTATTTCGAAAACTGTGTCACACTAGACCGGTGACCGCTCTCAAAAACCAAATAAGGTGGGGTTTTTCAGAATGATCAGACTGTTGGTTTCTTTTCTAATAGATTTTTGATGCTTACAAAGATTAACCGAATAATAAGATACAATACGACTTATACGTTAGGCTCTGACGAAGGTATGCCATCGAAACTTTAGCCATCGAGACTTGAAGAAAAGGAAGTACCAACCTCGTGCAAGCTTCAATTGAAGAAAAGGACAATCCGTGAGAAGTTTTGCATTTCTTCAATCATGTCGAGGTTTAGAGATAATCGGACATTTGAGTTATTTCAAAATACACTGCCGGATCATATCGTTCTTGAGCAAAGTCTCAAAATGGTCGATTGAATTGATTGCTACATATGTGAGACATCGGCTTGCGTAGCTCAGATCTTCGAAGTCTGTCCCATCTTCGTGTCCCAAAGGTCTTTACATCTATAGCAAACACTGATGGACTGGTCATATAGTGAAAAAAAAACAGACGGCAGATTGCCGAGAAGATCTTTAGAGTGGATTCCACGGTAATGTACGCATCAGAAATCATTTTTATCTGGCAGCGTATTGCGGTGTTATGATGCTATACAATAAAGTCAATGATATGGAGTGGTGTTAAGACGTTTGCGTCAACTGGGACTTGAAGCCAGTTTCACTCTTTCCGAGAGCGCGTGCTGAACCGTTGCACCTAGCTGACGCGAACGTTCTTGCACAGTACTCTACATCATTGGGTTCAATGTACGCATCCTCAAGGACGACCACCTACACGTTGGGCGGACGTGTTCGTTGAAAGAATTAAGCAGCTGCACTCGCAGCTGGCGATATGCAGATCGCGGTATGAAACTCGCACCAGCCGAAATGATCAAATTAATGTCACATGCGCTGGGGTCCCCACAACTATTGAGACGGACCGTCCAAATATACAAGTAAGTATCGAAGTAGAGAAAATGCGTGGTGATAAATTGTCAAAGCAGAAAGAAGAATGAGTAAATATGAACATCGATGAGAAGCAACTTCGAGAGCAATTATCAAAATGATAAATGGAGAAGGCTTTCGCCATTGATCAATTTTGCAAGCGACTTGGTGAATGTACAGAGGTCAAAGGAGGCAATTTGAAAAATTGTTACAAACTTTTTTGATTCTAATGTGATTGTCAATCTTATGAACGTAATTACTCGCTCAATCGAATGAACCCATTTGTTCATGCAGTAATTTTTCATTGTTGAGATATCTTAAAAAAAAGCATCAGAACTTTTCACGCACTCTGCATTATACATCTTGAAATTCCATGGATAAGACTGGCTGGAAAATAAAAGTTCGGTGTTGATCAATCGCTGATGTTTCCGCGATGCACTCATCTTCAATTTTTAACTTCGTTTGAGGTCAATGAATGCACATCTGACTTTTACAATGATTCGCAGTGGCCTCTCGTGTACCAAATCAGTGCTGCTTATCCTCCAGGCAAGTCTGCCACTAGTCTAGTACCAATTTATCAACTCTGGAAGGAAGGATGACTTGGTGAGCCATGAGCGCGAGGTCGTACCATTGACCTCATGTGCGACGTGCAGCACCTCTAACCAGTGCGCCAGATGCTCCAATCCGTCGTTCAACTCTTGAGTAGTCACCATTGTGCTGGAAAATTAAGCAGAATCAATAAAAGTCCGCAGTATCAAAAACCTTGAGTCGCAGTCTTTTTTCAGCCTCTGTAATGGTCTAAGCCAGCATTTGCGCCACCGGAAAGACGGCGTTGGTCTTCATAAACGGGAACGTCAAACTGAGCGATGCCAGCTATCAGCAGCAAGTTATACGGCATACGGGACGTAGTGGATCTTTGGAGTACTCAAACTTTTGCACCGACGGCTCAACTCTTCAGCAGAACTGAGGTCGCGCACATTCTGGACCTATGTGCGCGCATCGTTGAAAATTTTCGCAAGCGACTTTGTAAATAAATGTGTAGGGACTAAAGGAGGCAACTCTGAGAATTTGATATGAACTTTTTTCTCTATTGTTATATTTGTTGATCTAATAAACGTAGTTGTTGTTTTTAGTGATTGCATCTATTTGTTTAACCACTATTTTTTAGTAATAATCAAAATTTCTAGTATAGTTACTGATTATTTCCGCAGTGCTATAATGTTTCGTATAAACTAAGAGCAAAGACGTAAGCGAAAGCACGGCCTCAGGCGGGAATCGAGCCCGAGTTTCATCCATTACTTCCATCCATTTTCGTCCATTCATCCACTTCAACCACTCATTCTCTTAGATTTATGTTTTACTGTTGAGATATGTGAACGAAATTGACAAGAGTCTCTACGCAGCAGAAATAGAATTCTTTTCATTTAACCGCTTTCATTAAGTGGTGATACGATGTTATGATATACTCAGTAATGTAGAAAGATATGCAAAACTTTTGCGTCAGGGTAGACTCGAACCCACATTTCACGCATTTCTGTTTAATCACCCGGTAACCAAACTCTGTAAGCCTGACTGTATTCAATGTCTATGCTGACTTCCCAAGAGAAAGCGTTGATGGTCTATTGCTAACAGATAAATGCGCTATAATGTAGAAAGAGTGGTGTCAAAACAGGCTTCGGTAGTGCAACGGTTTGAGCACGCGCCACCTGCAAAGATGAGGTGTGGGTTCAAGCCTCAACTGACGCAAAAGTTCAAATTAGGCGAGAATTGAATCCTTATTTAACGCATATTGGAAACGTGTCCTACCACTATGTCATCGATGCCACCGGCTCGCTATAATTTATTGCCGGTATGGGTGAAACTTTGATCTGCTCTTGCCTGATGTCGAATGTTTTTGCCTAATTCAATTCTCTCACACTATTGTTTTATCCATTTTATTACTTCATTTCATATCGTGTCATTGTTAGGCCACGGTATGTTGAGAATGCTGTAGTAGTTAACTAGAGGGTAAATAAGGACAACCCACGAGGGTAAATAAGGGCACGGGTACCGCAGCTTAACCAATTTAAAATCATAACGGATCACCACCGGTTACGTATGATTATGGTTTGTGGGTGTATGCTGAAGAAGTGTGTCGAAGAGACGGCCGAAAAGACCGAATTACGCTTGGATCAGGCAATACTGCCGATCGGACTGAAAACCACTAGTTTAGGTACTTTGACGAAAGCACTATTGTCTGGCAAAATAAATCTCACTATGGTCGGTTAGTAGTCTTTGACGAAGACACTCTGTGCCACGAGTTGAAAGCGCATCCGTTTGTTAGTACCAGGGATTTGGAGCAGATACTTGGATACGGCCGTAACATCATCGCCCGCTGTCCAAATGAAACGTGCTATCGCAAAGTAATGTCCGATGGAAACCTCATGCATTAACCGACCACGACAGCGCCGCACGCGGGACCAACTGCGAAGGTCTTTGCTGCGATCGCAAGAGAGGACTTTCTAAGTCGAATCATTAGTGGAGACGAATCCTGAGACTACTACAAGAGCAACACGTTCCTTGAATACTGGTTGCCCGCAGCGGAGACACGCCACTCAATCAAAGCCCAAGTTTCATGCTGTTGGAAGAACAACAGAGCATGCTTTTATTGAGACTTGCTCAAGAGCAAGTAGGCATTCAGTGCCGATATCTACGAGAGAGAGCTCTGAGAACTGGCTTTTGCGTCGCAACAGAAGCGCTCGAAACGACTCAGCATGGCTCTCCTTTGAGACAACGCTTTGTATAACATTTCAAAGTTGACTACTCTGTTGTGCAGAAACTGTGCTAGACAACGCTGCCACATTCACGGTGTGGTCCTGATATCGTTCCATTGGATTATCATCTCTTCCGTACCATGAAGAGGCATTGACGGCAAGAATAATTTAGGAACTACAACCAGTTCAGATATGACCTTATCAACTTCTTTGATCACCAGCTCATTCTTTGTGGAATTAAGGCATCCGAATTTGCTTAGACAAATAGTTTCATGTCACTAGTCATGAAGGGGATTATATTGTTGATTAATTTTCGTCTTCGGAAAGTAACAATTAGATCAACAAATACAGAAATGCGAGGCAACATATGGAACATCCCGATTCATGAATCATATCTTTACTAAAAAGACAGTAATAAAAAAGAAAATAAAATGGATCTACTACGTTGTTCAGTAGTGAAAGTGATCAGTGCCGTGTTTATGTGTTAATTAAGTGAAGGATTGTGCCCATGAGACAGATAAATTGATAACTAGACTCTCGAATGTCTTTCACTTATTATGCGTATTGAAATGCTTAGTCCACTCAGGATAGCCAACCGTATGCTGTGGGGTTTTGAATGGAAGTTTCCATTTTTTTGCGAGTCTTAGTAATCCTAGGCGAGAAAAAGGGATAGTCAAGGTAGTTGTGGCAAAAGATTTTTTAATCGTCTTCTTCAAAATTATGTATCTCTTCTCACGGATTCTGTGAAACATTTGCTACTTTCTGGGAAAGTATAATTGTATTAAATCTTTTCGAACCAACTCTGAATTGCTCATTCAATCTGAAAAATTTTCTTGAGATTTTTTCTCAATTGTAGCTTTGTTTATTCTGTACGAGTAGTTTTGCACCTTCACATTACAAGTGTTCGATTTTTTATAAAGAAGATGAGTGCTTTCTATCAAACTCAAAATAGAGTAGCTTTGCAGAAAAGTGCTGCATTGTCGTACGCATCTATCACTTTGCTGTCAGTTGTCGAACAACTCACTATCTCAGTAATAAAATGTTATGTTGGCTACTCCTTCATCTTGAACATATAATGAGCACTGACAGAATACAATTTTCAAAGATACCATTTAAATTTTTGTTGTCATAATTTGGCAGCGGATGGCTTAGCGCGCACTCCCACAAATTGTAACTCAATAATGAAAAAGTGTTTGCATCATAAATCTGAACCTTCACCATCAGCACCCAATCAAACCTCCTCGGGCATAGAAAGGCATTGAGGGTGGTGTGTGAATCAAGGCATAACTGTGGAGTAATTGTAGTATTTCAGAATATGCAAACTGAAGCTGTTTTTCTTTTAAAGATGGATATACTAGGCCTATTATCGAAACGACGTAGTAGGCTCTTCGTACTCGTTTTCAAATAGATGTCTAGAAACGTAAAAATGGAGTTCTCTGGTTTATTCTTGTATTTAGCAACGCTTACAAATTTCCTTCTAAAATTGACTAGAAGAAAACTGCCAATTTTTCCAGATGTCAGGCTTCTCGCCCGCTCCGTTGTATGTTCACCCGGAAACATTGTGATCTCGGTGATTATAATAGCCATGGTGAGTTTTAGACTACGATTTTTGTAGCTCAATAAGTTACAAATCCTTGGAGATTCTTCTCTGTATCTACGTTGGGTTACAAAACTCGACCTCTTCAGTTATAGTGGCAAAGCTTCTAGCTTACCAGCTACACTTTTTCAGTCGTCTGAAAGACCTAGCCTGTGGCATCATTAGTAACCAAACTAAGGTCGAATTTGCTTCTACGACTTCTTTATCAACTTAACTGCACAATTTTGTGTAAAATGATACACAGAAAGAAAGATTTGTCGCCCATCTATAAAAAATGCTTGCTCTGGAGGTCCCATTTTCAGTAATAAAGTTTGTCCTGAACTGCGATATCTCCCAAGAGTTATAAGTTGAGATTCTTTATTAATTTCTAAACGACCTAGAATGCATGACCGCACTGAACCTAAGGGATGATAAGTTGTGAAGGAAAACTACTATGAAGAAATAACGGCTTTCAGGCAGCAGTGCTTGGTTTGGTATCAAACGGTGCTGCCATAGTAGTCGTGCGAAAAATCCGGCATTTCCGAACTCATTCGGTCTACTGGTCTCTCACCTAATTTCGCCAATATTGGTGTTTCGCTCATCTATCTTTTGGGTCACTCCGATTACATTGCTGTAAATATTCACAGTTTGTCATTTCAAAAATTTGAGGTAATTGGTTGTGATTTTCGATCTAGGACTCCAGTAACTAGGTTTCTGTTAGCGCTGTGGTAATTACATCTGGTAATCACAATTGTTCGCTACCACTAGACATAACAAACGTTTGAATGTACTAACGTACAATGCTTCTAAAGAATTTGAGGACACTCTTATAATAGTGCCATGACAAGCGAACGAGTAGAAGAGTCTTAACTTATAGCCCACTGTATTCAGTGCATTCAGTGTTTTCGATAAGATAACCTCTCATTAGAGCGCATGTGGCGCAGTGGTTAGAGGTGCCCTGCGTCGCACACGAGGTCAATGGTTCGATCTCGCGCTCATGGCTCACCAAGCCATCCATCCCACTGGGGTCGGTAAATTGGTACCATACAGGTCTCAGACTTGTCTGGGAGGATAAACAGCACTGACACGATTCAGCGGGAGGCCACCGCGAGTCATTGTAAAGGCCAGATATGCATTCAATCGCCTCAAACGAAGTTAAAAATTGGAGTCGAATGCATGGCGCATCCCTCAGGGAATGATCAACGCCGAGAGCTTTATCCTTTATCCTTTTAACCTCTCATCGATTAGGAGGAGTGTGAAATTCTTTGTAGTGCTTAGCAAAGAGCGTTTTGTTTTATTTCGAATAGGCAACATGTAGATAAAGCTTCAATGAAGCATTTCGACTTTACGATACTGAAAATTGTAAAATTATGGGTATCTTCGATACGAAACCATTTCTTGAAGCGGTATGCTGGTTTTTACAATTACGCTAGTGCACCAGCGCTTTCTTTGAGATACGTAAGAATGTTCAAAAACGCAAGTCGATCCTTTATCACGATAATGTGCAAGAGTTCTAAGAGTAGTGCGAAAAGTGCCAGGAATAATCATCCCAATTAACTGAGGGAAACTATCGAAGGGTTTTTCCGTCGAAAATTCATTTCTGCACGATCTGAAAAGAACTATAATGCGCACTCCACCGGAAGGAATGGAAAGAAGTGGGAGCTAATATTTGCAAATAATTTGAAATTATAAAGTTGAAACATATACGATTATTATTTCTTAAAACTTTCAGTGAAAACGCGCAGCTGATTGAACTGGTGGCAAAGCTGGCAGGCATGGTAGGCATCATTCTCTGGTATGTATGTGGCTACTCTCACGTTGCTATTTCTTTAAATAGGGTAATCGCCATCCCATTTCTTCTATATGCCCCAGCTTTCCTTCGTTGAAAAACACTGCTTTCGTAGTTGTGATCTGCTGGATTCTGACCTTCTCGCGTACAGTACTGTACTTTTAAAGTGAGATTTGATATTTACACGTTAGTGTGAATGATGGTGTTCGAAATATAAAAATTCACAGAGACTATAATGAAAAAAACGTGCCTAGTGAGCTTCGTTTACAAATTTCAGTCCAAGATAAAAAGTAAAGCAACTCATGTTGGTCAGCGCTACAAAAGCTCACAAGTCCACTTAATAGGGAAGAAGTGCTCGAACAGTTAGTTCTCAATGTCAACGAAAGACCATGCATGTAGTGGATTGCATCTACAGAAACTGCGGTAATCACGTTCTTGCATTGGTATAACCGTGATAAATTTTATCGGTCGCATAGAATCATTGCGAGCTATTCACATCAATCAAATTGACTGTTTGCAACCACCTTTCACGACAAATTACGTTGTATCATGGCTGATTTATTCCAATTATGAAATGTGCGTGACTCGATTTGAAATATGTTGTAGGATGATTTCTGTGTAAATTTCT